AACGACACCGGAAAATCGTGTGGATTCTTAACTTTCAGGAATCATAGTATTCGGCTGTGCACTTATCTCAAATTTCGTTTTTCTAACGAAACTTGACATTTTTGAGGGGGGGGGGGGCCTTAAAAGAATTGAAGTCTATAGTCTACTGACGGTCATTTTCATAAAACTTTTACTGAGAGAAAGGCTTTTCTAAAAAACCTAAAAAAAAGAGTTTTCATCTGATATTTTCAACGAAAACAAACATGTCTTTTCTTGAGATATTCAATAGCTTTGTCCTCTTATGATAAGCCGCGGTCTTCTTTTTGCAAATTGAATATCTCAAGAAAGACATAGTTGTTTTCGTTGAAATTTTCAACTCGAAATGTCTTATCTCAATAAAAGTGTCATTAAAGCGATCATAAATATTCATTAGTAGACCATGACCCAGAATCCTGTTAAGATTTTCTTAGTTTCACAAAACCTATTCGTAATCATAATGTAATGTCAAATTATGTTCGATAGATTGAATATGTTCTCTCGTAAGTAATTAGTCTAACTGAAGAAAAATGTCAATCACACTGTAATGTTTTTTAAATATTTTACAACATAATAATCAAGTAATTCATCAATTAAATTTATAAAGAATTACCATGTCTTGAAAGACCATTTGTTTGTTCTGACGCAATCAGTTGTGCTAATAATTCTGCCAAATATTGTGGATCAAGAAAATAATAATTAGATAATAACGTATCTTCAAAATGTACAATTATACCTAAAACATATTTCATTATACAAAAAATGGTTATAATTATTTCTATTATCTCACCATTTACATGTAACCATTTAGTTGCTTGTTGAAGTTCAACATAATCACGAAATTGAACATGATTTTTCTGTTGAGATATTTCCTTAATTAATTCTCTAAGAGAAACAAAAATTTGTAAGAAAAAAAAGAATTTTTAAATAAAAATTCCTACTGATATTCTTTATCATTTAACATTGATATTTTTTTATTTATTCGATATTCTTCAAGTGCTTCTTCCAAATAAATATATTTTGCTGGTATTCTTTGTTGAAATATATTTTGATCTTTACTATTTGGTACTAATAATTGTCCAGCAATATCATATATTAATGTACAAAGTTGTTTTATATTGTAACCTGTTTTACTACTTATTTCAATTGATTCAAGAACTTTCGGATAACCTAATTTTTCACTTTGTGATGTATCCATAAAACGTTTATAGATAATTGATTGAAAATTTTCAGATAATTGACGATAATTTTTTAATTTAACTATTTGATCATGATGTGTACCAACAAGAATGACAGATGAACCAGGTGCAACAGTCTAATGAACCAAAATAAAATGTGATTTATACTGAATTTTAATAGATTTTGATTTCTTTTTTTTGCTTTATTTCTGTTCGATCATTTAAGTTGACATGATTATATCGCAATAGATGATGTCGAGGGCGTGTTCTCTGTTCATTTTATATAGAATACAGCATATAGATTTTGGTTATATATGTCTATTTGTAAATTTTTTTTTAATTCTATAGAATCTTTTGAAATAGAGTTAATTATAGGATTTTTTTTCTCTCTTTTCTTCAATACTATCAACCTAATGGTTGAAATTATTTTTATTAAAGAAGACGACACATACTGTTGGAGATTTGTCGTTTTTTTTTTTCTTACGTATTCTTCACCATCGATAAAACCACACGAGCACCCTATATATACAAAGAAAGAGAAGGAACAACGCGATGATCATATAAAAAAAAGACGAAGGTTCGTTGTGTTATTGACATATTTTTTGTGGCATTTGAATTCTACTATACTTTATATTCAACGCACGAGCGAAAGCGAACACACACACACACACACACACAAAGATTTCGTATTATTTTTATGGCGACAACTGCTGCTACGAATTCTATACCGATCACATATTCGAATACACTCAATCGTACGTCTATGATTATTTCTTATTTCATTCGTTTGATCTTTTTATTAATCGAATTTAGATTCTAATCAACCTAAAGAACAAATGTATGGTATACCTGTTAAATTTGCTGACAATTTATTTAGTACTGTATGTGTATTTAATTCAAATATCAAACAGTACATTTCTTTGTTTTAGCTTATTAAAGAACAAATAAATGAATTTATAAATTTACAACATGTAAAAGGACTTAAATACACTGATGAAAATGCTATTCGAACAATAACCTATGAAATAATTGAAATATTAAAACAAATTGTTTGTCAACATATCAAAGATAATTATAAAGTAATTATTCAAGTTATAACTTATCCAAAAAAATTTGAAGAAAATGTTTCAATTATGAGTCAATGTTTATGGAATCATAGAACAGATGATGTACTTTCAATTGAAGTGGAAAGTGATTTATTGAAATTTTTTATTGTTGTACATGGTGTTGTGGCATGAGAAAACAAAAGATATTTATTGAATTTATTATTTTTTTTTTCTCAGGAATAAAACAAAAACAAAGAACAAGAGAAAAACTTACTTGAATATTTATTAAAATATTATGTATTGTATCAAAGATTTGTTCATTCATATCATATTCAGTCATTTTCCAACATATTAAATACATAGTACGTCGAGTAAAGAAATATTGATAAATTGATTGAAATTCATGCTGAATAAGTTAAATAATTCTGAAAGATTCTTTCAGTTTCGAATTATTTTTAATTACCTGTCCACCAAAATCCCAAGTTCGAAATGTAATTGGACCTAACAATGCACGAGGTGTTTTTTCATATATCCATTCGGATATATCAAGAATTGGAAAATTACGAATTGTTGTTGATTTCTAGAAAATTAATGAATAAAGTTGTTAGTACAATCTATATGATTAAAATATGAAACACGATATAGTTGTTCATTTCTAAGGTATCCCTCACAGTCTATTATCGGTTGCTAGGGAGTTTGACACGATCTGTGAAGGAGGAGGGGGATTCCAATATTTACCTCTATACTCAATACTCCTTTTAAATTGTATTTCACAAACAAATTAGAACTTGTATTGAATATATTTCAAATAAAATATTTATCGAAGTCAGAATCAAAATAGTTTTACTGATGATCAAATACGAATCAACTACCATCGTGCATTGGCGGGCCGGACCGTAATTTTCAGGGGGGGCAATAAGCACTTTTTCGCTTAAAAACGCTTGTTTTCATGGCGTCCTTCTTAAGTCCCAGCCAAAAACTTTTTTTTAGAGGGGGGGGGGGGGGGGGGAATTGCCCCCCCCCGCCCCTTTG